TGCCCAGGCGGGTCTCGAACCCGCGGGCTCAGGCGGTCCACTCACCTCAGCCTCCCCAAGCGAGGGATTACAGGCTGAGCCACCGAGCCCGGCGGAAGGGACACTCTTTCGGGACAGCGGGGACTCCAGGGCTGGGCTCGTCCAGATGTGAAAGGCTGAGGGACGGAGGCTGGTGGAGAGCCTGGGGAGGTGGGGGTGAGGCCCTGGGGGCACCTACCCTCCCAGGCTGCCAGGGGAAGACCTTGGGTGCTGCTGGTGTGAGAGGTGGGCCCCGAACATCCCCTCTCCAGATCACTATGTTGTCATCGGGGCTCAGAGGGACGCCTGGGGCCCAGGCGCAGCCAAGTCCGCTGTGGGGACGGCCATACTGCTGGAGCTGGTGCGGACCTTTTCCTCCATGGTGAGCAACGGTAAGGTCAGGGCTTGGGCCTGGGCTGGGCGGAGTTGGGCCGTGACCCTGAGCCAGGACTGGACAGAGAGACAGTTAGAAGCACAGACTGGCAGGCGTCCACTTGGACTTGGGCACCCACATCTAGCTGTGTGGCCCTGGGCCAGTCATCTCATCGCTGTCTGCTCATCTCAAAAGGAAAGACAGACCAGTAGTCCATGGATCTGAGTGAAGACTGAGCAGTAGCTATCACAGTAAAGCCGTCTCCGTCACTATTCCAGTGGGGTCAGGGCAGATCCAGAGTGAGATGGGCTAGGATGGGGGCCTTGATTCGAGAGAAGGAGAGGCCTCGGGACCAGGACAGAGGAAGACCAAGAGGTGGCCTTTCAGCTGAGCCCATCCTCCCTCCACCCGCTTCCCCAGGCTTCCGCCCCCGCCGAAGTCTTCTCTTCATCAGCTGGGATGGGGGCGACTTTGGGAACGTGGGCTCCACTGAGTGGCTGGAGGTAATGTGGGGTCCTGGGTAGGTGGCCCGGCAGCGGGAGCGGTGGGAGGGTCCGTACTCCATGCTCTTCACCCGCCCACAGGGCTACCTCAGTGTGCTGCACCTCAAAGCCGTAGCCTATGTGAGCCTGGACAACGCCGTGTTGGGTGAGCCAGGGCAATGCCACCACCTGGCCCCCTCAGGTCCACCCTCGCCGCGGGGGATAAGCCCTGAGCCTGGCATCCCGCCCTCTCCTCCCCTCCCTCCAGGGGATGACAGGTTCCATGCCAAGACCAGCCCTCTTCTGATCAGCCTCGTTGAGAACATCCTGAAGCAGGTAAGAGCCCGACCAGGGATAAGGGAGGAAGCGAGACGGGTGGTGGGTAAAGCCTGACCAGTGCCCCCTGCCATGCCCCCAGGTCGACTCTCCCAACCACAGTGGGCAGACGCTCTACGAGCAGGTGGCGTTCAATCCCAGCTGGGATGCTGAGGTGTAAGTCGGGGTGGGCAGAGCGGGGTGGTGCGGGGGAGCCAGAGCCCACCGAGGCTTCCAACCGGTCTGTCCCCAGGATCCAGCCCCTGCCGGTGGACAGCAGTGCCTATTCTTTCACGGCCTCTGTGGGGGTCCCCGCTGTCGAGTTCTCCTTCGTGGAGGTGAGACTAGCCCGCCCTGCCTCAGACAGCGCCGGTTCCTCGGCCTGCCAGCCCCTCGCCTGCGTGCCAGCGCCCCAGCACCTGCTCTGTCCCGGCAGGATGACCAGGTGTACCCGTTCCTGCACACCAAGGAGGACACCTACGACAACCTGCACAAGGTGCTCCAAGGCCGCCTGCCCGCTGTGGCCCAGGCCGTGGCCCAGCTCGCAGGGCAGCTGCTCATCCGGCTCAGCCACGATCGCCTGCTGCCCCTCGACTTCGGCCGCTACGGGGACGTGGTCCTCCGCCACCTCGGCAGCCTCAACGCGTTCTCCGGGGACCTCAAGGTCCGGGAGGCCGGCCCCGCTCCCGGACTCAGGGGCGGGGGG